GCTGTTTACCACAAACACAACATTTATCCATTAGTTTGATTTCAAATCCAAACATTGTCACTGAAAATGCTTTTTCAGCATTGCAGTTCTTTTCTTTTTTACACAGTACAGTAATACAATCTTTCACAGACATGTCTAAGCACAATAAATATAAGCAACACATTATTCAATGCTTTTTACATTTGTCATAAAGAATGAGTACCTGACCTTCAGCATTATAATGATTTCACCTGCGCCAGACTGAAACTGAGACGGTGACGCTGCATGTCGTGCCAAACCTCTCACAGCAGCGTCATCAGATGGAGATCGTTCTTTTGAGATCGGCCTTTTTAGAGACCGCCAATCAATCATCCCAACGTGATTATCGGCTGATAGTGATCGGTAGCCGATCAATCGGAGCACCCCTAATACATTTGTACATTCTCTAACATGCATATTTTGGATACACAGTTCATTTAAAAGCCTCTGGTGTGTAAAAATAGTAAATACCATTATGTCCTCCTGTTTTTTACAGCAGAAACAGGTTTGTGTCAAGCCACACATCTGGGGAACACTTCAGAAAAAAATCTGCTTCATTGAAGGTTCACAGAAGCATGTAGCCTTTATAATCCATAGCGGAAGACGTTTGGAACAACTAGAACTCTTCCTAGAGCTGGCCTCCTGGCCAAACTGAGCAACTGATGGAGAAGGGCTTTGTAGCTGATGGTCACAGTTAGGAGAAACCTACAGAAGGACAAACATCACTGCAACACTCCACCGATCTGGGCTTTATGGCGGTGTGGCCAGACTTCTCCTCAGTGAAGACACACGAAAATCCACATGAAATTAGGAAAAAAGCACCTAAAGGACCCTCAGACTGTGAGAAACGATATTCTCTGGTCTGATGAACCTCAATTCTAAGCATCATGTTTGAAGGAAACCAGCTCTGCTCATCACCTGCAGAGCACCATCCCAAAAGTAAAGTGTTCTGGTAGAGGCCTCATGCTGTGGAGCTGTTTTTCAGTGTCAGGGACCGAGGGACTCATCAGAGTAGAAGAAAAGCTCAATGCACCAAAATATTGAGATAGCCTTAATGAAAACCCAGTCCAGAGCACTGAGAACCTCAGACTGGGCAGAAGGCTCACCTTCCAACAGGACAATGACCCTAAGCACACAACAAGAGTGGCTTATAGACGACTCTGTGAATGTCCTTGAGTGGTCCATCCACAGCCTGGGATTGAACACAATCAAATATTTCTAGAGAAACCTGAAAATGTGCATCTGCCCCCAAGCTGACAGAGCTTGAGAGGTGAAGATGTGAGGAGAAGAATGACAGATAATTGCCAAATGCTGATGTGAAAATCCTGTCGCATCATACCCAAAAATACTGGAGGCTGTTAAGGTGCTTCAGCTAAGTACTGAGTTAAGGGTTTGAATACTTATGCAATGTACTTATTTCAGTTTTTTTTTGTTGTTATGGTGGGGCGGGGTAATTTGAAGCAGTTTAACATAAGGCTGTGTTTAAAGCAGCTTTTGCCCTCGGTGCACTTGAGCAGAGTTTCTCAGGAGCTTTGCAGGAGGTTTCTTGAAGCGTCTCGGAGACACAGTTCTTCTGGATTGAGTCTGTCTCAGTTTGTTCTGTTTCTTCATGTGACTCCAGACAGACTGATGATGATCAGATCTCAGTGTGCAGCACAAACATATATCTCACTGCATTATTACAATTAATGGCTAAATTAATGTTTGTAAATGTAAACTGATTTTTCTTACTGACACACTACAGCAAGCTGCTGAAAATACTAGTGTGCTAATAATTTTGGTCACCACTGTATATATGTACTTTTTACCAGTTTCTACAAGCAGCAAAAATAATATTTTTGACATTGATAATAATAATAAGAAATGCAAAAAAAAAAAAAATAATCTTGTTTTTTTATATAAATAAAACAAAAATAATCCTAAATATTCTAAACTTTAGACCTGTAGTGTATAAAATCACTAGTTTTGAGGGATTGTGTCAGAAATGCAGCGGTGCCGCAGTGTAATGACAGGTACACAGGTGTTTCTCTCCTCAAATGCATCCAGTTACTTTCAGGAAGACAGTACTAGCTTTGTTAGTTTTTCTCAAACAGCTGTTCTGCATACAGTTTTAGGGTTTATTAGTCTATTGACAAGCAGCAGCTGCTCACATGACAGCATTCACATGAACTCCAGTCAGACCTGTGCTTCGTGATGCACCGCAGAGACTGAGCGTGCACGGTTTGCAGATCTCGGCTGAGAGCTGGTTTTGTGGCTAATGTTGGTGTGGGCCGCTCTGAGCCTCTCATCCCCAGATAGTGCAGCTCTCCGTCCATCTCTCGCTGTCATCTCAGTCCTCCACACTCCTCCAGAGCGGCTGAGGATGATGAGGAGCACGCTGATGTCAGTCTGAGGACGAGGTTCAGCCGTTGTAGGGAAGTGAAAGAGGAAGATCTGAATCTGATTCTGTGGCGTCTCAACAAAACCCACAGCTAATCATAGCAAACAGAGAAAAGCAAACAAATGCTTAATGTAATAGAGAAAACCAGACCATATTTCATTTGATTTACACCACAGAGCAGTGAGACGTCTCTTCTGCTCACCGAGGATGTGTTTATTTGATCGAAAATACTGTAAAACAGTGAAATATTATTATAATTTCAAACAGCTGTTTTCTATGTGAATATCTGTTAAACTGTAATTTATTTCTGTGATGCGCAGCTGTATTTTCAGCATCATTACTCCAGTCTTCAGTGTCACATGATCTTCAGAAATCATTCTAATATGCTGATTTGCTGCTCAACAAACATTTCTGATTATTATCAATGTTGAAAACAGTTGTATTTTTTGTGGAAACTGATACATTTTATTTTTCAAGATTCACAGATGAGTAGAAAGTTCAAAAGAACAGCATTTATTTGAAACAAATATTTTGTAACATTTTAAATGTCTTTAATGACACTTTTGATCAATTTAATGCAAATAATTAATGAATAAAAACATTAATTAAGCGATGCTTTTCATTGACACGTTTTCAGTTTGTATCTGATGTATTGACAGTAAAGCATGTGTAATTCCAAACAGCTCCTCAAATTATTAGAAGCTTATTAATATTAATCTTAGTACATTACTAGAAAAACAATTCTGTCTCTGTTACACATGAAGATGATCTTAACGCCTCTAAAAACATAATTATTAATGCAAACTAATGCTAGTTTTCTGTGAGGTTCACACTATAATGGGAAACTCTTCTCTCTGCTCAAGCGTGACAGGTTTGAGAGGTTCGCTCAATATCTTTTTGTGTCACTCTGTCCTCGATGTGTCATTGAGTCCTGCTATCAGCGGCTCATTAAGGTCTGGAGAGTAAAAATAGCCGCAGCGGGACAGACGAGGTCTTACCTCTGAAACGTGTCTGTCTGTGTCTCAGCTCTCATCAAATACATCCGGCCCGTGTTCGTGTCGCGCTCGGATCAGGACTCCAGGCGGCAGACGGTGGAGGAGATCAAGAGAAGAGCTCATTCAGGAGAGTGGCCACAGGTACCATTACAGCTCACAGTGCTTTCATTTAAAGAAGTCTTTACAGAGATCTACATATCAGGCTTTCAGAGATCTGCTCACTTCAGACTTTAACGTTATTAGTGATAACATCTGAACCGTAACTTAAGTTCATTTTCATATTGTCAGCCATCATTTGAAATGTTGGTCTTTGCAAACTGATTTGTTATTTGATCAAACGGTGAATTTTTAGAGAGATACAAACTAACACCACAAAACATCCCAGATGTCATCAGATTCGGTAATAATATTTACTGATGCTTGTGCTGTTGATTAACCTCTAAAATGATGTCACTTCCTGCAGAATAATGGGACGCTAAGGAAGTGACTTTTGTTACGCAAACTGGATGGAAAGTGATATTGAAGACGCAGGGTGAAAAATAAATAAAAATAGGTCATAAATTAAAACACTATTCCCAAGAAAATGTAGGTTTGGAACATTTTGTTTATATATATATGTATATATATATATATATATATATATATATGTAATAAATTGTAAGTTCCCTTTCATGGGAACTTCGAACTGCGTCCTCTAGGGGTCGCTGTGGGGAACGCCTCGTCGTGACCCGTGTCTGAAGCATACATTGAAGAAACACCAACAACACGTTGGCCGGCGACAGCCATGACGTCACTACCGGTGCGACTATATTATAAATAGGCGCCGGGAGAACACATCATCCTCTTCTTCGTCTTCACTGACTGTTTTGTATATACTGTATATATATAATATGTCTGAATCTCACAATTCAGATTTTGTTTTGTGCACTTCTGATTTTTGGTTTCTGCCAAAAAATTAAGAAAAAAAAATAATAATTGTGGCTTTATCTGACAATTCTGCCGTTGTTTTTTCTTTTTCTTAGAATTGTGAGTTGATACATCACAATTCTGAAAAAAAAGTCTGAATCGTGAGATGAAAAAGTTGCAATTACATTTATTTATTATTTTCTATCCCCTCACTGAAATAGTCTTCCATGTGTATGATTGGGACTTTGTGAGCTTTTAGTTCTCTTTAAATCAGTTCCTCATATGTGAGCCATTACAGTGACTCGTGTGTCATCATGTCACTGCAGTTTATTTCCAGATTTGACTAACTGTTGGTTTGGTGAATTGATTCATGATTGTGAACCGATCAGAAACTCTGTGTTTTTCAGATAATGATTTTTCCAGAAGGGACGTGCACCAATAGAACCTGCCTGATCACATTCAAACCAGGTAGGTGTGTGTGTGTGTGTGTGTGTGTGTGTGTGTGTGTGTGAGCTAGTGTTGGGCGATATGCTCAATTGTCATATCGTCCTATCGTCAGCCCGTGAGATCGCCTATACACGATATTATCGTGCTAATTTATTTAATTATTTACTTCGTTTCTTTGCCGGAAAGTGACACCAGTGTAAGGCTAAAAGAAGCCTAATGTTTTTAATATGACTGAATTTGTATTTAACATGATAACAATTTAATGGAAACATAGTAAGTTACTAATTACAATGCTTACATTTCCTCACTTATCAAAACTGTAGCTACAGAAAACGAGCAAAGAACATTTACATTACCAGAGAGCCTCAACACTGACTTCAGTCTAGTGCGAGTTTATGGACTTTAAAAACACTCCCGTTATATTCAGTGAAACTGATGAATACACTGACTGCACACGTCTGCTGATCACAGCCATTATAGTCAATACTTGTGTTTATACTAGCCACGGCATGTTTCTGAAGCGTCCCAGAAGCGGCTGTCCACACTGCTTCGCTAAAGATAGGTGCCTAGTTCATTTTTGATGGATAATAATAATAATAATGATAATAATAATAGTCTTGCTATCGTCAAAGTCATCAGCAACAGGCGATATCTCTGACTATCATAGATACATGATACTATCATCTATCAGCACAACCCCAGTGTGTGTGTGTGTGTGTGTGTGTGTGTGTGTGTGTGCTCTTGCT